GGGGGGGGGTTATAACAGTGACTTAGCTCCTTGCAGTGATTCAAAATGTCGCACACATGGAGTGATCAAATGGCAAAGAAAATATATGTGGAAACTTTTGTTTAACCTTCCTTTACATTTTCAGAAATTAAAAAAATAATTATGACGACTTAATCCCAGCAAATGATAAATGCAGGCAATACTAACTTATCGGGAGCTGCCTTTCCTCAATTATCATACAGATCTAGTTCCGGATGTAATATTTGGTCAATGTCCTTTACGCTGGAAGCGCTGATCAAGACCCCTTTCCATCCTACCCTTTGTACCCGCATTTTGCAAAATATTGTTACTTTAATTTTACTTTTGAAACGTTGCACATGTAGCCGTTCTAGCATCCCTGTCTACGTCTGTACCCAGCTGCATCCAACCCCTTCCAACGTCAGGTCAAACAGTACAGTTGAACCTGCTCTGACGGCCACCTGTCCAAAAAATAATCTATACAAACGGCCACTTCCAACTTCCCCCTTGCTCTCCCCCCCCCCTTTTTTTTAAAACCATCATAGTAACTCTGTTCAAGACGTCCTTCTGTCTAAGACAACCACATTTATTCTGGACAATGGATGGACGTCCTAGACAATGTCGACCAAACCACCGACAAACAGGCCAATAACTCTAGCACCCTGGATCTGGTATCATTGGACTCAAAAGTCTTTATGGATATTTTGCTGAGTTGCCAGGTATAGACGCAATCTCATTCACTTCAACACTTTTATTTTTTGCACTTTGCATCCATTTCTTAAAAGCATCCTATCATTATTATTAGCTCCGCCGCACAGTTGTAGTACTACCACGCACTCCCTAACGCACAGTTTCGGGGAACGGGGCATTGTAAAACTTAAGGAAACTGGAAAACTGTACTGAAATAGCATAATCATTGCTTTATTTCTGAGTATCAGGCTGAAAACATATGGGCTAATGCGTAAAGGGGAGATGGGGGGGAACATGGCGTCCAAAACTACCAAAATGAAGATAGTATTACTTTTCTTTAAATTAACAAGCAACATTGTTTTAGAAATAATGAACATTCTAAATTCATAAGTTCTTGAATAAATCATGAATTACTAATTAAATAAGGGGACTTTTCCTCGAGGTTACTGAGCGACATACCTGCCATGGTGACCACGACCACCAAGGTCAGCGCAAGAAGCCACAAGAGCTTCATGATTGCTGTAGGTAGCTGCTCGAACGGACTACTCCTTGCTCGGGAGGATCTGCTCGTGACAGTGACTGATTTGATCTAGGGTCTGACGACGGCAGACTCTAGTAATGTCTGTCCGAGGGGAAGACGCTCTAGAGAGTTGGCCCAGGCCTTATATAGAAGAGCCACCAATCATACCACGTTGGCAAGGCTTTGTGGGGAGCATGTACTAATATTTTGAACTACGAGGCTTACTGCTACTTGCCAGAAAAGGGGCCAAACAAAGGTTTAAATTTGAGTCGATCAATAGAAGGGGGTGGGGGAGAGAGATAGAAAGGGTTGGAGAGAGATATATGGAGCGAGAGGGATAGAGATATATGGAGCGAGAGGGATAGAGATAGGGGGGAGAGGGAGCAAAAGTCAGACATTTAGAGAGAGAGGGGGGGATGGGGTGGATGGGTGGGTCGTAGTAGCGTGCGGATATGATCTCAAAACAGAAAAGGGAAGGGGAGAGGGGGAGTAATATGAAATATGGGAATTGTAAAAGCAAATCAACCCCTATCCCCATCCCAGCCATAAATGTAATATTTCATTGGATAAG